TAAAAATCCATCATCATTCCAAACTAGCAAAAAATAAATATATCAACTGATATAACCAAATTTTGGATGTAAAGGACTTCTGATCGCATCGGGTACACCAACAAAAAGTGTTACTATGAGGTTAGTAAAATAATAAATTATGAATGTCAATCAAAGACTTGAGCTTATGTGACTCACACTCCACCACTTAAAGTTCATTTGGGTCACCATCCAGCACCTCACTGTGAACTAGAAGATGCTGGTTTAATTAGAAAATTTAGGAGGCGGGACTCACCCTAAGATTTTCTTTTTCTTTCACTTTTCTATGATAAACCTAATAAGCTAAAATGAGCTTTTCGTTTTCTCATCTTTTTCTTTCTTGTTTTCTTCTAAATCAAATAGTACATAAGTACTAAGTATATATTCTAATATTGGAGATTAATAACTTTAAAACAGAAAACACATTTTCTCCCCAAACAATCTGCCAATTGGCACACTCTTCCACGAAACCATCCTCAATTACTCATCAATTAGTAATATAATCCAAAATTTAGCCATCTTTATGTAAAACCACATACATAAAATATCTTTATCCAAAAAGTTTAGCTTAAAAAACTAATGTACCCAAGGACAAGAAGGTTCCTTGCCATACAAATGTATAAGAAAGGGTCATTTAACACAGCCTTACCATTACATAATCAAAGAGGTTGTTCTTGGATTCAAACCCATGACCAACTGATCATCGAGGCACAACTTAACCACTGCGACAGAATTTGCCTTTAAAAAATCGGCTTACTAAAGCAGAATTTTAGTTGGAGAAATAAAAGAAGCTCTTAATAAGATGGATAATGACAAAGTAGTTGCCATTGATAATGTTCCTGTTGAAGTTTAGAAATATACTTAAGAACAAGGTATCATTTTGCTAGACAAGCTATTTAATGATATTTTTAGATCAACGAATAATGTGATGTTTTTCCACTTAAATTTGTTTTCAGTAACGGATTCCCTTCTATTTATATACCTTATTACTCTGCTCGAAATTTCCACCTCAAATAACGATAAGTCCCAAGTTTCAAAATATTTTATAAGCCGTTGTTACAGAGGTCTCATTACAAATAGTATAGCCTAACCTTTCTAATGAGTTCTTCATTAAGTTTCAACATATCCTCGTAAGGAGTAAAGGCCATTTCCATATCTAGCTGTGTGAACTCAGGTTGTCTGTCAGCTCTTAAATCTTCATCACGAAAACATCTGCAAAACATAAATTTCATTTGATCCAAACAGAAAAGTCACATGCATGATAGTTGCTTCAATTTTACATCTGGTATGGCTTACAGAAATAAACATTGTGTCTTCTTAGTTTATATAGTCACTTCAAGAAATGCTTATTTTTATAGTGAAGAAGCACTACATGTGGGATAATAACATATTCTCATAAAGGAAGCCAAACATAAGAAAAAAATATTACCTTGCAACCTGATAATATTTATCAAAACCAGCTACCATTAGCATTTGCTTAAATAGCTGAGGACTTTGTGGCAAGGCATAGAATGTTCCTGGCTTCATAATTCATGTGATCGTGAATCAACAAAACTATATCAAGTGGCTCACAAAAAATACATAAAAAAGGCTTATATTGATTTTCAAATTACTCTTTACAATGCTCAAAGATGTTACTCCAGTAGAATAAAATTATTCAGTAGCACAAGACAAATACTCTTTGCAATGCTCAAAGATGTTACTCCAGTAGAATAAAATTATTCATTAGCACAATACAGACAAATAGCCAACACAGCTATTGTTTGAGAACTTTCAATCATGTTTTTCATTACCATAACATAAAAACTTAATTGCAAGGACATGACGATAGATATATGACATTTTAAAAAAAATTAATAAAACAACATCAGAAACTATGAAGGGCAAGGAATGCTTCGAACTGATATATGACATTTTAAAAAAAATTAATAAAACAACATCAGAAACTATGAAGGGCAAGGAATGCTTTGAACTGAGTGTTTTCCTGTTTGCATTCAGAGAGCAAACAACACAGAGCATAGTCAGAAAGACTGCAAGAGCACATCTGCACATTACTATAATGCGTCATGTCTTGGCAAACAGGAAAGTGACTCGCAGTCATGGTATCACTGTCAAGTGATGCCACCAGAGCATTGCTCCATGAGGATGAGAGGAGAGGTGAACCGGCTCTGTCTAGATTACTAGGATAGAAGTCGCAGGGGGGTGGACTTGGTCTGACAGAAGCTAAATTGAGATTGTCTCGCTCTACTGACAGGACAGGACCAATACTTAAGTTCCAAACTGGTGTTAGATTTCAGCTTTAAACCAATTGCCATTAAAGTCAAGTTGCCCAGCACTGCCAAACCAGGCACTTACTCTGAGCTATAGGCTCTAATACCATGTTAGATTTCAACTTAAAACCAATTGGCATTGAGTGAAGTTGTGCAATATGTATATATGCCGCACTCCAAAACTTGAACCAGATGAGCTGGGACTTCCCAACACTAGACTGCCAATATTTTTAGAGAAATCTAACACTAGATTGTCCAAACTGTACACCCTTATTGCTGACCAGGAGAAACCCAACTGATTTAAAATATTACATGGAAAAATTTTATGATCATAATCTCGAGCAACAAAAAGATAAACTAATAATATCATGCATGAGTTGAAAAGATACATACCTGGATTCTTGATGGAACTAAATAATCCCGGGCACCTTCTGGAGTGGATCTAGACAGTATTGGAGTTTCAATCTATCTTATGACCAAAAAAGGCAAGATCAACACAGGATATCAAACACCAAACCACAAAGAACAGCAGGGGCGAGAAATACAATTACAAAATGAAGAGAGAAAATAACTTAAGTGATGAACTCATAGGATAGTACCTCCACAAAACCATGAACATCTTCTAAATATCTTCGAATGAGTTTAACTACTTTATGTCGCAGCAATATGTTGAAATTCATTTGTTGCCGCCTCAGGTCAAGACACCGGTATCTGTAAAAAGATTTATAAGCAATAGATCTCCCATATAGACATACAAGAAACAGTGATGAATAGGTATAATGAAAAAAATTTGGATGGTTCCACCAAAAAATTCTTTCATTTCTTTCTACAAAAGCTAAAGATAAATCAAATATTTGATAACTAAATAAATGACTTTCAAGCGTGCAAATTTAGACCATAAAACTAACAGGAGAATTCCTTGAAGACCTAAACCCCATAAAAGTAAATGCACCAACAATGTGACTCGAGAAAATTAAAGAATAAAAGTTATTTTCCATCAGATTGACGAGTTAAAATAATAAGATTCTAATCATTACCAAACTCTATAAGAAACCGACCAACATAAATAAATACAAATAAGCAATTGTGAGTATCATGTAACTTGACAGCTAGTTACCTCAAACGGATTTCTTCTTTAAGAGAATCTTTTGCATCATCTGCCGTAGTAACCAAGAATGGTAACTTTGAATTTACAGAGTTTAGCACTTGAACTCTACGAGCAGCAACCTGATACACACACATATATATAAATCAAAAGTGGTTGATATAAATAAATAGAACATTCCAAACAAAAAAGAAAAAAAACAGATCTTCAGAGTTCAGAAACCAATCACTTCTGTACAAAGCATTTATTCACAGAATAACAAGCAAGGAACATGGAGAAGTGTTGGAGAAAATAAATAAGTTAATAAGTAAAGAGCTTTCATATATAAAATAAAATCTTTAGGAAACAAATTGTTGCCAATTCAATACCAAAATGAAATTTACCCTTATTAATAATATGTACCTCGATGGAACTTGTTTTCATCTTCTTGTTGATTGACTCGCTTGGCCTAGACCTGACAACACCGTCAATGGCAATCACGTACTCAAGCCTCAGGTCATTGATAGCAGAATGTGCATCTGGAAATTCATCTGGAAGGGTTGTTACCTGAAATTCAAGCCTATTTAGAATAAACACCAAGTACAGTTACAAACAACAGTAAAGTAGTAAATGCATAACAGATAAGTACAAAAGAAGCATAGGTAATACAAAAACTTTTTTGAAATGAATGAGGCTGAGTAAACATGCCGGTGCCAATAAAACTCCAAGGAAAAAAAGATGAAGAAAACCAACTATTCGAAAACAGGCAAGTACCTGAACAATTCCACTGTGGTCTCTGAGATTAAGAAATGTGAGGCCACCATGGACTCTGTGAAGGGCAACCCAACCACAAAGCTGGACCCTTTTTCCCACATCATTTGAAGACAATTCACCACATAATGCAGTCCTGTTGATCCACTCAAGGGATTCAGTGAGGGCCAAAGGTGGCTTAGCATTGGAAGTGAGTATTTCAGAAGCAGAAGGAAGCGGCTGTGTTGAAGGGGTTGTGGAGGCAGAAACGGAAAACACTGTTCTGGTTCTGGAAAGTGGCAATATACCTGTGTTGGAAACTCTGCATAGAAAAACTAAAGATGGTCTGGTGCGGGAGGTCATCAAAGGCAGAGATTTTAGGAACAGGGACATGGTTGTTGATTTTGTGATTATGAAATAAAAATTAGATAACGGACACCCAGTAACGAATTTTCCTTGAGAACCCGTTGAAAGTTCAGAATTCAAACAAAAGATTCAGACTTTTAGAGGAAACAGATTGGAAAACAAAAATAAAAAATTGAGAATTCAAAAAAAGAAAAACACTCAAATTTGAGCTAAGAGGAATAGCTACTCCCGCAGAACATAATGGGTGGAGACTGTGAATGGAGGAAAAAGAATAACTGTCGTGTGTCCATTACCAGAAGATGAGGAAAAAGAAAGATTAAGTACGGTAGAACATAATAGAGCAAAGCAAACTGCCAGGAGAGGGAGATAACAGATGAGAGATTCTTTCACCTAAATGACCCAATTTCAATATATAGATTGGGCTCCCATGTGAAAAAAAGGGCTCGTGTCGTGATGGTTCAATATTTCCATTTCTTTCTGCACCCCATAGTTTCTATCTATACCCAATATTTTCGATGTATACCCTCTGAGACTGGTTAAAAAAGTAAACTACAACAAGTGGGGTGCAGGAAGCAATTTCCCTTAATATATAGACAAGGGCCCTAATAGGACGGGCCTAATAGGTATTTTGGAGTTGTTTAGGATAAGGAATGTGTTTGAGCCTACCTTCGAGAATGCAAGAGAAATATTTTTTTGCAGTCTGGTTTTAATTTTATAATTACCTTCGTAAATAATTATAAAACCATATTTACTATTTTGGTCTTACTTTCATCCTCTTTATATATGTTGAATATGTAAGTGGAATATGACCTCAGCAAGCTACGTGTGATAGTCCAAATGATAAATAGTGATTTAATTTAATTAAATGAAATTATATCAAAATAATAACCACTAACTAATTACTAAAACGAAAAAAAATATATATCATGAGGTATTGTGAACCCTAAAATAAAATATTGCTGACATCTTCCATCATTTGTTGCTTGAAATAATCATATTGTGTTTGGATTAGGGCTGCAAATCTTGTACAGATGAGAAACGTGCGCCGCAAATAATACAAACATTATAATTATACAACAATGTGGCACTGCTTCCGTTTTCTCAATTTAAATTATTAATATTAATTATTTCGTTCGAAATATAAAAAAACAGAATAGTGTATAAAATATTTAATTTCTATACAAATTTAATATACAAAAATTTATATTTCCAAATAATACAACATGATATGATTTCTAACGTAAACATTGCAAAAGAAAAATATGTCACGTATTCAATAGAATTACTTACTCACACGATTCGAAAACAATAGTTTTTTTTTTTCTAGGTTTTGAAACGGTAAGAAATATAATGAATAGAAATACTTGTTATAAGTAGGAGTTTATTAAAAACTGAAAAATTTTAAATGCAGATCATAAACAAAATTTCTTTATCAGTGTGAATTATTTGAACACACGTCATTGAACTGATTTCCACCAGAAATATAGTCATTCTCAAAACTCAGAAGAAATTTGAGGTGTAACTTAGGTCTTTGATTTTTTTTAAATATCTTTTCACTTCCATAATTTTAAGTGAAAATTAAAATTAATTTATTAAAATTTTAGTCTAATTTTCTCAATTTTAGAAATGTTTGATTTAATCTTTTAGTCAAATTTTATAAAGCTTTTTATTGTTTTAAATGTATTTTATGATAACATTTGAGTTATTGACATTGACACATTTTTTTTAATATTAATTGAAAAATGTATTTAAAATGTCAAATAGATTTTAAAAAATTTTGATTAAAAGAATTAAATTCACTATTTTAAAAATTGGAAAACTAAATTAGATAAAAATTTAAAAAAAAAACTAATTTTAATTTTCACTTTAAGAAAAAAACATATTTAATTTTTTTTTACACATATTCTCTTCCACAAAGCAACTAGCTGTAAAATTTATTTACAATATGTTTGTATATATTCAATATTTACTGACATTAAAAAAAAGCTTATGCAATAAATACTGAAGTGATGAATGATGAAATCAAAGTGTAATGATTAAGAAAAGGAACATAAGGGATGATTGGGGAGAGTGATTAGGACTGTTGTGAACATCCGTGAAGCAAGCAGCAGGTACCAGAATGTGGCTACTATCTTTGCGCATGGAGACATATAAATAAAAATTGTTTGAATAAATTATAGTAACAGTGAGTTGGTCTCGTGAACCTTTGTTTTTATGTATGTTTTTTGTGGTTAAATAGGTACGTGGGATGTTTGTGATTTTTTTGTCTCATTCCCATTTTGGCAGCAGATTTGCTTCTAGTCTTTTTATCTCACGTTAATTCCAAATCCCACAAATGAAATATGCCAAACAATTTTCTTAACCCTCTCACTCTCCTTTCTGCTTCCATTAAATTTTATTTTAATAAGATTTGTTATTTAAAAAACATTATTTTATTCATTATTAAACTATTATCATATTATCGTTTAATGTTTAATTTTATGCACTTTTTTAATGTACAAGGAGTATATTAAAAATCTCATCCTCGTTCGTGAATTTAAAATATATAAATCGGTAAAGATTTCATTTATAAACTGAAGTTGAATTTTGATTGAAGTTTACTTTACAATTATTGCACATTTTTATTTAAACTACCAAAAGTCTCAACTTATCTTTTATTTTATACAGCGAAAGAGCCTCTTAATGATAGATAAGATCCTTAGTACGTAAATTTAAGAATTTTTTTTATCAGATTTTACCTTCGCTCTGTCTTTTTGACCCCAAAAGTCATATGCGATAATATAAAATTTGAACACAAAAATAATATTTGTTATCAACTTCTTTGGTGGATAGAACAAATGTAAAGATTTACTGAAATATTTTGATACTAGCACGGTATGAAAGAAAAAAATGAGTGATATACGTGTATATTCAAAATATAACCCTCGAGTTATTTATGTAATGTTTTAAAGAAAACTAAATTTAATTAAAACTAAAAAAGCACAATAAAATTTCTTTCCTAAACATATAATAACATTTGTTATTTTATGTGGCTAACGAATACTCGTAATCATGCTCTATTTCTAAATTTATAACGGTATTTCTTACTTTCTACTAATTAAATAAAAAGTCACAGAATAATTTATTTTTAAATATATATAAATATTTGTTATTTTATATTCTTAACATATAAAAAATCACGAATATAGATAAAGCTAGTAAATAATGTGACAGAGCCCATTTGAAAACAACAATAATTTATTTGACCACATTAAATTCTTTAACAAATATTATAACATGCGTTTGTATATGTGAGTTTGAAACTAATTTGGTAAGATATCAATCAAATTAATATATTAATTAAGTTAGATATTTAACAGTACTTTTCAACGTCTACATAGTATAGAGTAATTTTATTTTACTTTAAAATAACCATTAGAAAAACCAATATAAAGATTTTTGTCCATTTTTTTTCAACTATAAATTAACTCTAATAAGGTAAAATTGTCAAACATTAAGTTAACTTATCAAGAATGGACTACAAAAACATTATTTTTGCTTCATTCAATTTATTTTCACTAGGATTTTAATATTAATAGGGAACTTAACCCATCTCCTAAAACTAATGAATCACTTCAAGAATAACCACTAATCTCATTAGTACTTAATTATATTAATCTGATAAAATATTCATTCAACTAGTACCTGTTGAAATTAAAATACAATTAACAACTAACTTGTTACGTTATAATATCAAGTCAAAGAAAATTTTCCGCTTGAAAATTTTCCATTGACATTATTAAGTAATATTACCTACTACGAAATTTTATTTCAGTCAATTCAATAATCCCACTCATACATATATTATTTATATATGTGAATTAATAAATTAATATTATCACATATATTCTTAAATGTAAATTATTATATATGTGAATTATTAATCCTCTTGTAATAATCTTATGACCAATAATAATTAAAATTATAAATATTTTATTTATTTTTAAGATCTTTTTTAGTATAAGTATATGTAATAATTGTTAAAAAATAATTTACTCCATGTGATCCAAATATTGATTGAAATGAGTTTATGTGGTACATTTCGTTAGATTAATTAACGTTAATGTTGTTAAAAGATAATGACTTGACAAAGTGATACTTTTTTATTTATCTAAGAGAAAAAGTGTCCATATCATTATGCTATAATTGGGATCTCATTAAATCTAAAATTTTGAAGAAAAACCATTAAGCAATTGCTACAAATCCTTAGACGAAAGGATTTATTAAGTCATTATTAAATTAGAATGAAAAAAATATTAAAATAATTGTTATATTAAATAATAAAAAATAGTAAAATATAATTTATTATAGAAGATAGTAATTGAACTTTGGTACACACATTTATTTTTAAAAGTGTATATCTCCTTTAATCATTTGGTATTCGCGTTCCTAAATCATATAGCAAAGTTATTCACTTAGCAATGCTATATTTGTACACAACATGCTCTTGTTTATTTTCTTATTTATTTATAAAAAAAGGGTAAAGTGAAAAATAATCTATATAATATTTAAAAATATAAATATATTTTCTATTTATCACTTATAACAATTAGTAAGAAGTTGCATGGGATGTTAAAATGTTCTTGTTTACAAAATCCCCAAATTAGTTATACAATAACAAGGCGACATACGATGATAAAATTCATACGAATAGGGCAGAGTTAAATGGCTATGACTAAAATGAATGTATTAATACTCATTAATAAATTAAAGCATACACCGTTATTACATTTTGAATTTTTGTTATATATATAGTAAAATTGATTCAATTTAGTGATTTAATTGATAGTATTCTACAATGATAATACAAGTTTTATGTCTTTAAATTAATTTTAAAAAAATGTTAAAATAAACACATTAGGGTTCTTGTATTTTTTTAAAGGACTGTAAGTTAATAATCTTAAAATGGTATTCATAAGTGATAATTTTACCTCAATTTTATAGTGAATACAAGATTTTATAACATACAAAACAAGACAATTAAGACTAAGAGATAAGAGCAAAGTAGGCATTTATTAGTTCCGATATTCTGACCTAAAATGGACTAGTATAGTTAAGGTACTACAATTACCACATATGAATTATTAATTACTTCAGACCTAGATAACGTTTTCAAGATTTTTATAAAAGAAATTTTCATAATATATTAAAATAAAGTTTATTTATAAATTACAAATGACTTCAACTTTTGCAACCATCAAAACACAAATAACTGCAAACAATGAAGATGAAAAATAAGTTAAGAATATTATGCTTTAGGAAATGTAATGTTTGTCGAAAATATTGTTGCTCAAACTTGGACTACGTAATGTCATTCATGCTATCATGACAATCTTAAGATA